AGTAAGTGGTGAGCCTAGGTGAGGGTTGAGACCTTTCCAGACCGAGACTTGCACAGATCGGAGAATTTTGAAGATAACAGTGTGGACTTTGGAACATGCAAGAAGCTCCCCTCTTCTCGCGCCCCCTCTGGAGGGCTCGCCGTACCCCGTGTGTCCGGCCCGCTGCACCCTAAGCCCACAGACTCTTGGCGGGTCGGGAGAGCTGGGTGCTGGCAGTGTTGGCCGGTGACCTGTGGAGGGCCGGCCTGCTGCTCCAGGCTGGGAGGCCCGGCGATCCCAACATGGTGACCGGGTCCCTGTGGGGGGGTCAGCGTGGCTCCTGCTGGGTGCGGGGCACTCACGCCGACAGCCTCGCTCTACCCGGCAGCGCCGCCTGGAACCTGGGTCTCGCGTGTTCTGTGCCCGTGTCACAGGGCCATGGCCTTTCTTCGACCGTGAAGGCAAATGTATGGTTGGGGCTATGCGGGTGACCGCGGGACAGAGACGTACCCTGTGAAGCTCAGCACAGCACCCGCAGAGACCCTGAACCTGGGGGCTGACCACCCAGCCACTGGGTTGGGGGAGGGTGGCATTGGAGGGTTTAAATACCTTCTGATGAGACAGAGGTGACGTCACGTCCCCACCTCACTCCTCCCAGGGGCTGGGGTCTGGGGCAGGCCTGTCATTTGAGAAGGACCCCGGGCCCTGGGAGGGGGACGGAGGCGCCGTGACGGCAGTCTTGTTTGGAGAGCAGCAGGTCGCCGCTCTGGCTCAGGGGACACTGGGATGGGGCGGGTTGAGGAGAAGGTTACTGCCTGTCGGGACTCTGGGCACGAGTGACCCACACACCATCTGGCACACCCTGGGAACCAGCGGTAGACACCTCTGTAATTCGGGGGCCCTGCATGGCCTTCTACTGGAGGGGGGTGGCTCCCTGTCACAGACGGGCCCAGTGTAAGGGCGCAGGCCGGTCTGAGCACGGAGATGGACCGCAGGGAGTCAGGCAGTCACGCCGCCACCGGGAGAGCTGGGGAGGTGGGGTCGCAGCCCCCACGCGTGGTCACACCACGGAGGGAGTGTCCACTTAGATGAAGAAGTGGCTGCTGCAGATGCCACTGGGGTCCTCGTGACGCCGGTCTCAGCCCTGGCACACAGTTCAGACCCTGCAGGTGGAGGGGGCCGTCTCCCTGTCACACCCCGGCTCCTTGGGACTCATGTCCCTGTCACACCCTGGCTCCCTGGGACTCATGTCCCTGTCACACCCCAGCTCCCTGGGACTCTGCCCGGTGGGGCCTTGTTTTCGCCGGAACTTGTTTTCGCTGGCTATTCAGCTCCGAGCTCCGCAGAACAGGAAGGTGCGGGACACCTGAGGGGGTTGGCTAGCACCTGAGAGAGCGAGGCGGGCGCCTGGCGCTGATGGGGACCCTGGCCCCCACCTGGGTGACCCTGGTCATGGAGTTTCTGTGGTTTCAGGATGCCTTGGGTGGCCCTGTGTGCACAGTGGTGATCCTCAGGCACAGGGAATGGGCCCAGTGGGCGTGTGACACATGTCTTCCGCTCAGCCGTTGGGGGCGGAGGAGCAGGTCCGGGAGGGCGCAGGTGGCCGAGCTCGCAGGTACAGGCAGCTGTGCCGGGGGCTCTGCTGCTGTAGCGCCTCTCACTGGCTGCAAAGAGGACAGACCCCAAGATCTCCTCAGTGGGGTGACGCTGGGCTCCAGCCCACGTGCACCTGTCCCAAAGCCAGTGGTGTTGCCCCGCGGCTTTCTCATCCCGACGGAAGAGCTGAGGCTCTCGGTTTCTTAAGGGATGCCTTGAAGGAGAGGGCTCTGCGCCCACGGAGGCCTGTGCTGCCAGGCTCCTTCCGGGCTCCTGCCAGGCCTTTCATAAAACGTAAAAATGCACTGTTGGCTCTGGCACAGAGAGTCCCTGGCTGGTGGGACGAGTGGCCGTGGGCCGGCTCGTGACCAGGCCCTGGAGGCCCCTGGGAGGTGGCAGTAGCGGACCAGGTTGGCAGGCCGTGTGTCTGGGAAGAGCATCACAGGCTGACGGGATGTGAGTCCAGGAAACCCCGGCCGGGATCTTTGATGCCTCCCCTGGCCACTGCCGATCTTGGCAGCGAGTCTCAGAGATGAGCCAGAGCTTGGCGCCATGTCACCGTGGCAGGTGAGCCAGCAGCTGGCACGGCCGTCTCTTCCCACGGACACGGCCAGGCCCGGGGCTGTGCCCAGAACCTGCTCTCGGCTCTGCCTCTCATGTCGAGTGGACAAGTGTCTTTTGAGGGCTGTGGGGAGCCGGTGGGAGGTGCCACCAATGTGCCAGGGACTCACCATGCTGCGTGGGGACTGGGCTCTGGTGAAGCTGAGAGCCACCTAGGTAAATGACAGAGGCCACAGGAGGCAGCGACTCTATATGTAAATGGGGCCCCTGTCAGCCCCACCTAACGATGTCCATGCAGAGGTGGGAAATCCTTGCTCCTCACGGTTCTGGCGCCTTGATTGACGTGAGAGGACCACAGCAGAGCCAGATTGCAGAAGGCAGGGGACTGAGAACTCTGGAGCCTGGGTCCTGCCGCCTGCAGGGGAGGTGGGCGGGACCGTCCTTCATGCTCAAGGGAAGCAGCCCCCGTCCCTTAGCCGGCCCTGCTCTCCTCACTCAGCCTGTCATGCTGGGGTGGGTGGCGGCCTGCAAGACGCCATCTGCGCCTCCCTCCGGCACCGTGCACAGTGCCTGCTCCCCTTCCAGGTCTGGCCTCCCGAGCACAGGGCCTGTCTTGTCTGAACAAGCAGTGGGCTGCAGGGCCACCCTCTCGGATGTTTGTGCCGAGGTCCAGGGGGCGGTAGCTGGCGAAGGAGAACCCGGCATTGGGGGTCCTTCCTCGCCTCCAAATTTTCGACCCTGTTGGAGGAGTGAGACTTTCCCCTGAGCAAGTCCTCGGCATGTAATAAACCCTCCGGAGAGGAAGGCCGGTGGTGAGCTAGTTAGCTGAATGGTTAAGGCCAGAGATCCAACGGGCAAGCTCACGTCAGCCCTGCCGTCACACCCAGCAGTGGGCACTGACTTTTCAGTAGCGGGAGTCAGCCTCTAACCCAAACCGGTGTAAGCATATGGACCTATTGTCTTATGTATGTGGGCCGCCTTCAGGCACAGCTTGATCCAGGAGCCCAAACTGTGTGGCTGGAGTCTGTCTCTGTGCAATCCCAGAGGGGCACTCCCCACACACCGGGAGATGGCTGCTGCAGCTCTAGGTTCGTGGTCCACGAGTAATCAGCAGAGCTGAGAGAATTCATTTTCCAGAAGAAGCTGCCCCAGGAAGGAGCTTCCTTGGCCCGGCCCAGTCACATGTCCACCCCTGAACCAACCGCCTGGGACAGGGTGGTGTCGTGCTCTGATTGGCCAGGCGAGGCCCAGATGCGAGCGGAGTGGGCGTGGCCAGCCCCACCCCCACCCAGCGGGCAGGCTCGTGGAAGCCGGTGGCTGGGCTCTCCGGCACCCCTAGGGTGGCACCCCAGTGTCACATGTGCTGTTTGCTTTGGCTCCGAGTTTGAGTTTACTGTCCCTGCTGGGACTCCCAGGGACCTATTTACGGTGACACGAGTGGAATGTTCCACGTGAAGCGGGCTTCCTTTGGGACGGGCACGCGCAGGCCATCCTCCGCGTTCGGGGTGCCTGCCAGTCTCTACAGTGAACGCGTGGCACCCCTGCTCTCAGGTGCTCCTGTCCTCTGGGGCCAGGAAACTTCCAGAAGGTGGGTGCAGGGACCCGCTTCTAACCTCGCTCTTGGCCCTCGCTGTCTTCCGGGGCCCACAGAGTCGGTGCCGCCGTGGGAAAGTCCCGTTTGAACTGGACGGTGTAAGTGGCGTGCCCCACCGTCGTTCTCAGTCAGGCGGGAGGCACAGGTGCCCCGAAGTCGCCTGACAGATCTCTGCGCTGTCAGCCCCCCGTCCGCAAGCTGGGGCCCTCCGAAACGCGGCTTCCCTCAGCAGCGCGGCCTCGTCCGGCCCCTCGGCTTAGGTTTGGGGTCGTTTTTCTGCGATGCTGACGAGAGAAGTGTCTAGGAGCCGGGGTGGGGGTGCGCACAGTACTGCCCGCTGAGGACTTGGGAGGGAAAGGATGTCAGCACAAAATTGGGGTGCTGGGGGCATCCGGCAGAGCAGGTGGGGGTCCGCTCCTGCTTGTAGGAGCGGGCACGGGAACGGGCTGCGGAGCTGGACGTGCTGCTCCAACGCGGGCGCCCTGCTCCGGGAGCCGCAGCGTCTAAGCGGGCTGAGTGGGGTTCCGGTCCGTGTGCCCCCGGCGCCCCACGCAGGCCCGAGGCTAAGCCGCACTCCCCCTGTCCTTTCAGCTCAGCCGGCAGATCTCCTGAAGGTTCTAGATTTTCACAACTTGCCTGACGGAATAACGAAGACGACAGGTTTTTGCACATCGCGCCGATCTTCCAAAGGCCCAGATGTGGCTTACCGAGTCACGAAAGATGCCCAGCTCAGCGCGCCCACCAAGCAGCTGTACCCCGGTGAGTGACGCGTGCGCGTGCGGGGGCGTGGGCGTCTCCCCGCTCCCACTTCCCGCAGGGCGCGGTGCCGGAGCCTGCAGCCTGCGTGTGTTCTGGGAGGAACACATGGGAGGCTTTCCAGTGAGCCAGGTCCGGGCTCGCCAGTGGCAACGGCATGGTGGCCGTCAGCATCCGCCACCAACGTGGTGCGCGGGCCTCGCTGTTCCCGCGCTGCCCCAGGCAGGCGTACGTCCAGCTGCAGGCGGGCTGCCAGGACTCCAGATGCAGAGAGGGGAAGGACGGGTCCCGGGAACAAGGTTACAGCAAACCTCGGGGTCGTGGGGCAGGAAGCGCTTCCAAACAGAAGCTCGATTGGGGCCAGTGGCGTTGGGACGCAGGACTCCCGGCCAGAGAGAGTGGGCTTTGAACGAGAACAGTCTTTTAATTACACCTCAGGGCGGGAGCCGAGACGCAGACGCCGCATCCTGCTTGTCTCTGTCCTCCTGCCGGTGGGGCGACATGCGACAGACACCCCCTTTCCTGCCACCTGCCATTTAAATGTGCTCTGGGCTCTTCTGGACCTGAGTCAATAGGTGGGAGGCTGAGAACCTCTCCCCTGCCCTAAACGAGCTCCTCTTCTCGATTCAGATCAGAAAGGGCCCGGGGTCGAGGGTGGGTGAACTCACCTTAGCAGGCAACCCGTAGTTATTATTAGAAGGCTGCGCCCCATCTTTTTGGCGACCTGAATGTGACGAGTAATGGTTCTCTGTTCGTCCCACGTCCCATGGGTCCCTGAAGGACACACTTCTCGGGGCTGCATTTGCGCCCCCAAACCTTTCTCCCACGGTTCTGTGCTTACGGCCCTCTCAGCCTACCTGTAAATCCATCAGGACTTTTTGTCATTGTCTCTGAGAGGCCGGGTCACCCGTTTCAGGAATGTCACTTTGGTGAGATTGCCCTTCAGATCTCTTAAGAAGCCCATGTTTGGGCACCGAGCCACTCTGGGCTCCGACGTGCGGCCTGGAGCATTGCAGATAGAGGTCACCGTCAGGGCCCCTGGCCAGCTCCCCGCAGCATCTCGTTTTCATGCACCCACAGGAGCAGGTCTCAACCTTGGGGACAAACACTTTTTATCATCGTCACTGAATGCTCACTTGCATCTTTGCCCCGAATCACCCGCTTTCTGCCCCGTGTCCCCAGTTTAGAATTCCGGTCTTAGGGAGAGTCAGGGAAAGGCTGGAGGGGACCGGCTGCCCCTGACCACAGGCACTACCGTGCCTTGCGTGCCCGATGTCCGTTAAAGACCTCTGCTGTGGAAACAGGGTGTCCTGTCTTGGAGGGAGCCAGTAGTCGCTTTGCTGACAAATACTTTAATCTGATCCCTGTCACCCAATTCAGGGTCACGGGCACAGCAGACTCACTGGGGTTTGTGTCCTCGTATCCTCTCCGCGTTGCACTGTTTTGTGGCCAGACTCATCAGTCGCTCAGGTGGTGGAATGGGCCACCAACGACATTGGAGCCGCATGAATGTGCTGCTTCTGAGCTGACATGGGGACGTCTGGGTCCCTCTGCGGGTCCCAGAGTGCTGTCAGGCACCTGCACGACAGGGCACCCTGTAGATCAGTACGCTGACTTCCTGTACCAGGATCCGATGGGACGACACGGCCTCCTGGCCCCTCTCTCTCTCAGAACCTCTGAATGACATGCTGCCTGTCGTGGCTTTGCTCCAATGTCCCTCTGCCGGGGAGCGGCTGTGTCCGGCTGTGCCACAGACACCAGTATCTGCTGGGCAGGCACAGAGGATGGGACGCTGAGGTCAGGTGGCCACAGCAAGGCCGAGGGCCTAGCAGCCCTTTCTCCATTCTCATGTCGAGGATCGGGGTCTTTTCCCTATTTTGTCCCCCCTGGTGATTTCGGGGTGGCTGAGACTCCCTGTTCAGGCTCGAGGCAGGGGTTGGACATGATGATGTCCCCCAGCCCCCTCGCCCTTACCCTGGGTCTTCTCTCTATGGTGGCCTTGGGCTCCAGAATCAGCCCCGTGCCACAGAGCACCCTGTGCAGTAAGCGTCGGCTCTGGTAGGATCCAGTTGAATAGCGTGTGCACTTATTAAGCTGCTCCTGTGTACCCGAAGTGCCTCGCGCCCTGGGGCCTCGGCCGAGGTGAAAAGGAAGGGACATGAGGAGGTGCTGTCACTCCCGCTCTTCATCTGTAAGACGGGGCAGTGACAGCAGTGGCCTGGCATCGTCATGAGCGGGGGACGGGGGGTCAGGTGACCCTTCGAAACGAGAGCCAGGAAGTCACCAGCTCAGATGACAATCGCGCAGTCCTCCCTGGGCGTGCATGGTGAGCTCTGAGATGCCTCAGGTCAAATACACCCTGGGCCCCTCAGTGCCCATTCACCCCCCAGGGACCAGAAGGGGCCACCGAGGTCCTGCTGCTGGTCTGTGGCCGGGAGCTCCCCCTGGGGCCTGCACAGCAGATCCTGCTCTCTCCATGGATGGTACAGTTAAGGCTGTGACCTCCACGCCCCCTTCGCAAACAACATTTGAGGGACAGTGTGAAGCTGATGGCTGTGTAACAACAGATGGCCTCAGCAAACCCCTTCCCAAAGAAAGGCCTCCCATCTGGAAATGGAAGGCAGCGGAGTCAGATCCTCAAAGAAAGTGGCCTTTCCCCAGATGATGACCACGCCGACCATCACCACCTGCCACCTGGAGCTGTCCCCAGCCCTGGCGAATGGGGGCCTTGAACTGTCCGCCTGGGGCAGGGCCAGGCCATGGCACTGAGCGCAGCCAACAGACCCGCGGTCTACCTCGTTAACGCAGGTGCCGACGCCTGGCTGGGCGCCTAGACCCTTCCCTGTCAGCACCTGTCAGCACCTGTCAGGGGTTGTGGCCCATGGGGTGGACATTTCAGCCACCTCCGTCTCACCCTCAAGGCATCACACGACCCTGCGAGCTGGCCTTTGGGGGTCTGCTTGCTTTCACTGTTAGGAGCAGCAGTCATCCCTCTCGCCCTCACCCCAGTTCCCACAGAGGCTGCAGCAGGCGGTTTTCTCCTCCACCCCTCAGAAGTCTTAGGGTACCCTTGGCTGGGGGGCCTTGAAGGTCCCCTCGTCTGCAGCTCTGTATCCTGCTCCAACCTCCAGAAGCAGAGCGGCCTGGCTGCATAATGATTCCGCCAGCAGAGGGCACCCACGGACAGTTTCCTAACAGAGGCACAGGCCCAGCTCTGCCACCTCCTGGGCCTGGCCTTCCGCAGCCAGCTGGTCGACCTTGCTCCTGTTCTAAAGCAGGAGCGGCTGACACTGGATTCTCCCTCACCCGGGCCCCGAGCCAGACCAACAGCTCTGTGCAGCAGGACTGGGTGTGAGGGTGCAGCCGCAGGCCCCGCCCCGTCCCCGCTCAGCGTGTCCACGCCGCCACCTCTGGGCGCCTCTCCTCCCGGCCAGCCCAGCAGTGTGTCGATGTGGGCTGAGCGGTTCTGGCTGGCTTGACTGCATCGATTGGCCCCCAGGCTGTCAGCAGAATTGCAGATTGCTGACTTCACACCTGGGATCGATGGGGAGCGGGGGCCGTGGTTCTCTGTAGCTCAGAGGGGAGGGGAGGGCGGGCCCAGGGACCAGGCCTGGGCACCCACGACCAGCCGCTCGGGTCCGGCTTCCAGTGGGCTCGGAGGTTTCTGGCCTGTGCTGTGGGCCTGTGGGCACGACAAGGCTTCTCCTTCTTCCTTTCCCCCTCTCTTTCTTTTCTTCTTTTCTTTCTCTCTCTTTCCGATTTAGATTGAAGTCTTTTGATTCCTTTCCCTTTGAACTGTTTTGATGGCTTGCTGCGGGCCGCCCTGGGCTGCAGGGTGGCCAGGCCCCTGAGCCGGCCCGTTTGCAGAGAGCAGTGGGGGGCACGGTCGGGGCCTTCCCGACCGCCTTCTGACCTCCGTCCTCTGTTCCAGCGTCCGCATTTCCCGAGGACTTCTCCATTCTCAGCACTGTGAAAGCCAAGAAGGGCAGCCAGGCCTTCCTGGTCTCCATCTACAACGAGCAGGGCATCCAGCAGGTCGGCCTGGAGATGGGCCGCTCTCCGGTCTTCCTGTACGAGGACCACACGGGGAAGCCGGGGCCGGAAGACTACCCTCTGTTTAGGGGCATCAACCTGTCGGACGGCAAGTAAGTGGGCACCGCTGGGCAGCTCAGTCCCCCTCTGTCTGGAGGGTCCCGCTGGCCAGGCAGGGGATGTGACAGCAGGGTGTGCTTCACAGCAGCAGCTGCCGAGACGCCCACAGGTGGACGACACGGGGAGCACTGGGCCTGGAGTCCCGAGAGCCAAGCCCCAGGCCTCCGTGGCTCTTGGGAGTCCCCTTCTCCCCGGGCCTCTGTCGCCCTTTATAGAATGCACTGGGGTGCATCAGCGCTGCTCTTGGCGTCAGGGGCAGAAGGCCACGTGGTCAGTCCCCCGTGGCTCAGCAGGCCACGTGGTCAATCTGTCCTGACTCAGAAAGGGCCCGAGGAATCCCAGGGCACTGAGTCATTAGATGTGGGAACGAATATTAAAACGAGGCTGGGCTTTCCAGAATCGTGCTAAACCACGGTATCTTGGACGTGGCTAACGTGTCTGAGGCCACGTGCAGTGAAGACCTCCAGGGCGTGACCCTGCATTTCTCACTGAGCGTTCCACATGGGTCCCTCGGTTCACTGTCACCCATCACGCTTGGTGTACGGCCGCCTGCAGTTTGCCGTTGGGGGTTCAGACAGGCCGCGTGAGGCAGGACCACGTGTCTCCCTGCACTTGACCCTCTGGCGAGCCCACTCCAGGTTCAGAGTTTGCGCCCGGGGCTTCCCCGTGAGCTTGTGGGTCCAGACAGCTGAGCTCGTCTCAGAGGTAAGCAGTCTGAGGCTTCCGGAGGTGGAGTGCGTGTCACAGAGCACGTGCTGTGGCTGGGAGCTGCGCCCAGACGTGTCTGGTTGCAGAGAACTAAGACTTCTTCCTCGGGTCACCGGTACTTTGCAGCGGCCACTCATCTTGATGTTCTGTGACGCAAGCTCCCTTCGTTCACCGGGCTGTCCGTTTCTGTACAGGTGGCACAGAATTGCACTCAGCATTCACAAGAAGAATGTCACCCTGGTCCTGGACTGTAAAAAGAAGGCCACTAAATTCCTCGGCCGCAGCGACCACCCCATTATCGACGTCAATGGCATCATCGTGTTTGGCACCCGGATCCTGGATGAAGAAGTGTTTGAGGTAAGCAGGAAAGGCAGGCCATCCCACGTGCCACCTGGCGCCACCTGGGGCAGACGCTGGTGAGCACTCGCTGCTCAGAGGGGGCCTCTGTGCCTGTCCCAGTGGGTGTTTGTAGCCTGTGGCACTGGAGGGCTACGTGAGGGCAGCCGTGGCCGCCTTCGTCCAAGGGGCCAACATCCGTGTTGGGGATCAGCTGGGGAAGATGGGGGGCTTCGGGGAGCTGTGGCCCGAGGCTGGTGGAAGCATGCAGACTCCTGTATCAGACACCCGAGGGCCATCCTGGGATGAGGACCAGCTGCCCGCTGGGTGGATGCGGAGGGCAGAGCTCAGCCATTGAGTGGAGCCTCCTCAGGAGGGCGCGTGCCACCACGACCCAGGGGTGCTACTGTGTGCCCAGCCGGAGAGACGCCTCGGGAGCTGGGCAGAGCGGCCCGGGAGCCTGCGCTTCAACCCGCGGAGTTTGCGTTTCTCTCTGTCGTAGATCGGGGTTCAGTGTGAGGTAGCGTTGGTGAACCGCGCCCAGATGTAGGTGACCACCGCAGGTGCCCAGCGAGGGCATCAGAGTCACCGGAGCCTGTACAGTCCAGATCTCTAGGCCCGAGTCCCAAGGGGCTGTGGCAGTGGGCTTGCGGTGGGGCCCTGGAGCCTGCATTCCAGATGGCACTTCAGGGACCGGTGCTCCCCATGCGAGGGCCAGGTGCCGGCCAGGACCCTCCAGGGCCTTCCTGCCCTTACATAATAGGGCTTATGGAGAGAGATTCACCCCATGGCTCGAGTGTATTCAGAAACCGCTAGGCCTGGTGGTCTCTGAGGGCTCCCTAGCTCTCGGCTTCTCTCCCGGGGGTCCCCAGAGTCAGGACAAAATGGGCAGCATTTCCTCCCAGAGTCCCCGAGAGCCAGTGTGAGGCCCTGGACTTGCTCACACACTCGGCCATGTGTGTGCGGCCCGCCCTCTGCCCCACCAGCCCCTGCTTCGCCAGTGCTCATGCCCGGGGTGGGGTCCCCGGTCCGTGCCTGCACCTGATGAGTGGGGTCCGCTGCGCTGGGCAGGTGTCGACCAGGCCCCGGGCCCTGCCGGGGGCACCGCGGGGGAGAGAGCGCATGCTTACTACTCCACGTTATCTTAACGGTGGAGGCTCCTGACAGGGAGGGCGGGCTGACCAGCTGGCCCCGAGCCGTTGAGCACGCGGGAGGAGTGACATCCTGAAGCCACCTCTCTGTACGCCGTGCTGGGGACATGGGGCAGAGCCGTGAGACAAGTCCTTGGAGCCACTCCCGGGGCTGCGGGCCGCGCTCTTTCGGGCTGGGGGTGGCCTTGGGCACGTCGCTCTGATGTGTCTGAGCCTCGGCTGCTCCATCTGTAAGATGTGGCAGAAATGACATGAGGTTGACTGCGGTGCGCACCGTCACCCCATCCTACTCGTTCTCGACAAGTGTCAGCTGCTGTCCGGGAGGGACATCAGTCCAGCGTCGGAGCAGGTGGAGATGTGGGATGCAGCCCAGCTGGCCTGACGTGGGTGACTGAGGAGGGGTCAGAAAAGCCACCTCTGCGTGGGAGTGGGGGAGGGCTGGGGTGCTGGTGTGTGAGGGCCACATCTATGGTCCTGCCCCGCCTGGGGCTCTGGTACAGGGCAGGTGTCTGGGACAGCCGAGCCTTGGGACAGCGGGGTGGGCTGACACCTGGATCCCAACGCGTGCTGATAGATGCCGAGGCCGGCAGCGTGTGGCAGGTTTGGATCGATTTATCGTGCAGTTGCTTTTCTGTGTTGGGCCAAATCTTTGTAATTCCTAGTGCCTTTTTTGTGCTCACGGTGCGCCTTTTATTGGAAAGATTCAGAGAAAAGCTTTATCTATCTTTAAAAAATCAGGATTCTAAAGCAAATACTGTTTCTTCGGTTTTCTAAGTGAGCCAGAGAGGCCGTTTGCCCTGAGCGCAAGTACACGGGGAGCCCGTGCGGGGGGTAGGGCAGGCCGGCTCGGGCTCCCAGCCCTACCGTTTACCAGCTGTGGGGTCTTGGCTGAGCTGCCCAGCCTGTCTGAGACTCAGTGGCCCCATCTGTCAAATGGGAACAGTAACAGTGCCTCCCCCATGTTGTGCGGTTTGGGACATGCACACACGTGGCTCATGGCCAGCATTCCTTAACTGGTCCTTATTGTTGTTATGTATCGGAAACAATTTATAAACAGTTTATCCAAAACGAGATGAGTCTCCAGTTGAACAGCTCACTATCTTCTCTGCTTGTCTTTGCGACAAGCAGCGCAGGCCTCCCAGGGCGGCCGGAGGCAGGCGGGCTTCCGCTGGAGACGGCAGGCCAGGAATTCATCCAGAATTCTGGAGGGCCATTCCCTCTGGCATGGCATTCGATTTGAGGAGAGCGGCTGCCAGGAAGTGGGGTTCGTGGGCCGCGAGCCGTTCACATTCCGAAGCCGACGTGTTCCTGGCCCCGGCCTTTCCGGGCTGTTGGCTGTGTGCACGCTGGACGATATGACCTGTCTCAGTGAGCCCCTCAGTGGTCCGGGGCCATCTTTCTTCCTCTTTTTTTTAAAAATCTTTTCTTCGCTTTTGTCCTTCGTAGGGCAATGATAAAGTCGGGTGGCTTGGCCTCAAATTCCCAACCATGCTTCATCTTGCCTTGAGTGAGACAATTTTTATTTCTTTTGAATTAAAAGTGATGTGACTCCTTACCTTCCAGCAGAGGCCAAGTGATGACATTGCGCTTTAACCACGTGGAGGGACCGGCACACTGAAATTGATTCCTCTGGCAGCCAGTTCTTCTCCTCATCAAGGGCCAGTTTGTCCCGAGGCTGAGGGAGCTGGGAGGGCTCTGGGAAGCTGGTGGAGGGCTAAGTCACCCTGCATCGCGGTGGGTACCGGAGCATCCGCTGGCAGGGCAGCTCTGTGGGCTCTGCCGGGGCTGTCCTTGGCCCCCCAACCCCACCCCCCCCGACCAGCCCACTCGGTGATGGCGTCCACAGGCCGGGTGCTCCCCGGGTCCCCTAGTGCTTTTTCAGTTGGTGTTGCTGGTTAGACCTGGGCTGGGGATGGTGGGAAGCAGGCTCTGGCTGGGGCCGGCGGGAACCACGGCTTCATCTAGGATACGGCCAGTACGTCCCTGTCCACTGCTACAAATGTGTCTCTGGTGTAGGAGTGCCCAGCGCCCACGTTCTTGGCCCCAGCCTGGAGGCCAGCAGTACTTCAGGTCCCCTCACTGCACTGTTCTTCTGAGGCCATCAGTGTGAAGGGGCCCCTCCCCCAGGGCCGCGTGGGACAGCTGTGCTGGCCGTTCTGAGTGCAGGGCCCACGTCTCTGCCTGGCCCAGGCCAGCGTGGCCACGGATACAGTCCCATGACTTCCAGGGGAGACCTTGGCACACAGTGAGCAGCAGAGGGACTGGCGTCTGCATAGCCTGTCAGTCAGGGCCCATGTGCCCTGTTGATAGACGGGGACATGGAAGCTGCCAGGGCTGAGTCACAGGCCCGAGGTCCAGCATCGAGGGTGGGCGGCTCACACCCAGGCTTTCCCACAGCAGACAGCGTGTCCTGGGCGGGGCCTCGTGGGGGGCAGTGGGCGTGGCCAGGCCAGCGGCAGGTGGGGTACACCTGGAAGGGCCCGGTCCTTCCGGCTCTGTTCCAGGCACCCCGTCCACCCCGTGGCTGCTGTTTCCTCAGTGTCCGTTTGTGCTTCTCCTGGGGGCGCTGCCCCGCTACGTGAGGCTAGGTCTCAGCTCTGCCCACTTTGCGAGTGACCTTCCCTCATCCCTGGAAAGGACAGGGATTTTGCAGTCTCCATAAGTGTTCTGGGTGGGGTTATGTGACAAATGTCTGTAATTCGGTGGCTTAACAAGACAGAAATTTATTGTTTCCCAGTTCTGGAGGCTGAAATCCTAAATCCAGGTGCCAAGAGCAGACTGAGGCGTGTCCTGTGGGACGTAGGGGTCTGCGGGTGTCACTAGGGACCACGGACGTGACACAGTGTTGTAGCACCGTACCCAGAAGGGTGGCAGGATGACGAGAGTCTGTACTGTGCCCAGCGGAGGCCGAGCCACACCTGGAGTCTGAGCCTGGCACGGGGAAGGCAGCATGGAGGGGGGTTGGTGCCCAAGGGCGGAGAACCTCACCCAGGGCCCTGGTCGAAGGCCACCCCCTCCAGGATGCCTTCCTTGATCTCCCCAGGCAGAGTCAGTCACTTGGTCACCTGGGCTGCCTTCTTCAAATGCCGGTTGAGTAAGTGAAAGAATGAGCGGTCAGAGCCTCTGGCCTTCATGTGGAGGAGGGTGGTGAGCCTTCGTCAGGGATCAGGAGCTGTCGATGACGGTGATGGTGCTGATGGTGGTGGTGATGGTGCTGATGATGGTGGTGATGGTGATGATGTTGATGGGGATGGTGATGGGGATGGTGGTGGTGATGATGTCGATGGTGGTGGTGATGGTGGCGGTGGTGGTGGCAGTTGCTGTTTTGTGGGCTTTGCTGTCCCAGGCCCACTGTGTCGTGCCCGAACCGTCATACCTAGTCCTCAGGACACGTCCGTGAGGTAGGTCTTATTACCCTCTTTACACGTGCACAGATCCAGGCCGGACAGAGTAAGTGACGTTCTTAAAGCCCCACAGCTGGTGACAGAGGGATCCAGTGCCCAGGCCACTGCCGGTCATCAGCACCTCGCCCCTCTGTGTGGTAGTGCCAGGGTCTGCGCCCCTTTCTCTGTGGAGCTTGTCACAAAGCGCGTGTCCCTATGCCCGTGGTCAGCCCGGCCCACACAGGCTCGCTGCTCTGCCAGTCAGAGGGGGAGAACGGTGGGTGGCTTCACTCACATGCTGCCCAGGCGACCAGTGTCTATGGCGGGGCTGTTTAGCTCAGCGTCCAGGGCCCCACAGTCGACAGAGGATGTGAGTCCCGTGCCGTTCACGGAACTTCATGGGCCCTGGAGGAGACGGGCCTGTCCGCCCGGCCCCAACCCTGGCTCTGCCTCTCCGCCCTTTGGCTGGGATGAAGCGTCCGCTCTCCGAGTTCACTAAACTAGTCCCCTAGTCACTGCATCAGCGTCCAGTCCGATGAGGCTAGACTTGACCACCCCTTCCCTGCCCCGGTGCCCTCGGTCCCCTGTGGCACCGCACAGCCTGCGCCGCACGGGTGTGAGCAGACCGGCCTTAGACACACTCGAGCGGCTGCTGGCCGGAGGAGCAGGTGAGAATTGGATGGGACGGCGGGGGTGTGGAGTGGGGGCAGTCACAGCGGGGGACCGGGGAGGCGGGACCTGGGGACAGCAGGAAGTGGTTTCCGGCCACGTGGAGGTAGTTCTTTGACACTTGCCTGGACAGTGTTGGACCCTCTGTCCCGAGCATGCTGGAGATAGCGAGCCCCTGGCCGGGCCTTTGCTTTTCCTTTGTGTGACTCACGGGCGAAAGGATCACAGTGGATTTTAAATGTGGTCCATTTGGGCCACGAGAGCTCGAGCAGGGGAGTCGAGTTGGCTTCTGTGTGCGGAGTCTCCCGGGGAGTCAGGCCCTGTTGTGGAGGGGGCGCCTGGTGTCCCCGGGCACTGAGCTGGCCACGTCCAACAGAGGAGGCTGTGCTGGGGCGACAGTGGTGGTTTGAGCCTCCACACGTCCTGGCCCTGTGCACGTGGGTGCTGACTCCGTTTCTCATGGGGAATGCAGGCTTTCTCGGGCTCCTGTTCACAGAGGCGGGCGGGCTTCATGCTCCCACAGCCTCGACCCCGAGTGGCTGCCCCGAGTATCTGCAGGGCAGAAGCTGTACCCTGGCATCTCTCTGGGAGCCTATCTGGGTGTCACCGGGCTGGGATGCAAGCCCAGGTGTGCTGGCCTCTGGAGCCCTGGCCCTTCCTGCCGCCACCCTCCCTCTGTCCCCCAAGAGCTGAGCTGGGGGCCCCGCCCCGTCTCTCAGTCCCAGTCAGTGGGCTGCCTTCCGCACGGGGGTACAGGCTGCGGCCAGAGCCCGCTGGCGGCAGGAAGGGCCCTCCCTCCTTTGGCTTTGCGCCACCGGCAGCACGCTGGCCGGCCACCCCTCCCGCAGCCTCGGACAGGAAGCGCGTGTCTCCTGAAGTTATCTGCGTGTCCTCCTGTACAAGTGTGAAGTGCGCCAGCTAAAATAAGGCTGCAGAATCACAGGAGAAGCCAAGCACATGGCTCCCCGGGGGCCTGTCGGGTTGGAGTGGCAGGTTCTGGGGGCCGTGGGGCGGGGCTGGCTGCCCGCAGAGAGGAGGGACGCAGCACTCGGTGGCACTGGAGGCGTCAGGAGAGACAGCAGGAGCTGTGCCTCCCTCGCTCGGGCCTGGGCTGTTTCCCGTCTGCACAGCCCCCGAGGGGGCGAAGCTCTCCAACGAAAACTGCAATCCCCTTGACAGAGCAGCAGTGCCGGCTGGATAGAATCTCGTTATCAGAAGAGGCGGAACGGATTCTCTCAGCAAAATGCTCCTGCCTCAGCCCGGGCCAAGGACAACATGCGTCTTGCTGCGTCCCAGTGGCCGATGGCCTCTCACGCTGCCCAGCCTGTCCTCTGCAGGAAGATGGACCGCTGATAGCGGCTCCCAGGCGTTGAGGTGGCCGAGGAGAGTGGCCGTAATAATGCTCAGCACAGTCGTAGAAGCTTCTAGCAGCTCAGCAGAGCTCTACTGGCCTGGCCGGGGCAGAAACGAGGCATGAAGAGGGAGGAAACAGTCGTCATGGGAACGAGGGACGGCGTGAGCACAGCAGGCACCGGCTCCTCTGGGCAGGCGGTTGGGGCTGTCACAGGGCAAGCTACAGGGCCTCCCCGTCTGGAGTTGCCATTTAGAGCCAAACCGAGAGATTGAAGGGCTTGGCCTGGGGATCAAGGTGCGGAACCAAGTGTAGCCTGTGTTCACAAGGCCGGTGGAGCCGGTGCGTGTCCCCACCGAGGGCTGCCTGGGTGAAGTGGCAGTGTCGTTTGTGGGAGCTGGGAGCCCAAGGTCGTCGCATGCGCAGGACACAGTGCTTGAACTCACAGGGAGCCAGGCAGCTCTGGTGCAGGAACCGCAGGGGCTGCCAGGGTGACCTGGAGCCTACTCTGTGCTCCTTAGGAGAGGGACCCTCTGTGAGCCTTAGTCCGTGCGTCTGTGGCACGGGCGAGAGGGGAAACGAGCCCCCAGCCCCATCCTGGAGCGGCCGCGGGGACGGCTGGGGGCTTGTCCGGGCGCCCGAAGGCAGGGACGAGAAGTCAGTCGTGTCCAGAGGCACCATGGGTGGGCGATGTGGAACACAGGGGTGGCATGGGGCAGTGCGCGGGGTCTGTGCCAGCAGCCCTCGGGTCAGCAGGCTGCTGCTGTGGGCGGGGACCCGGTCCAGGCTCCCTGGTGTCACCCCAGAGCCCCCGAGGCCAGCGGCCAGAGGCCATCATGTCCCTTCACCTTCTCCTGCAGGTCAAGGACAGGGGCTCCCCGTTAGTTCCCATTCGGTTGTGGGTCCACTGGGAGAGGGGACTCCCCGGCGGTGGCTGCGAGACCCCTGGCTGGAGAAGGGTCCTGAGATCGCGTTTATCTCAGCAAGAAGCAGCACAGGGGGAGACGAGCTCCCTGCGGAAGCCGCACGGGTGTTCAGTGTCCCCGGCCCGAAGCCGACGCGCAGGGCCAGGCAGCTGGCCCGTTAGGGTTCTGGCCTTGCTGTGCCTCTCTGCGCAGGAGCTGTTTCTCTGCCCGGCCCACACGGCGTGGAGGCCGGCGTCCCCCGTGGCTGAATAGGGACACAAGCTCCCAGAGGCTGCGTTCTGTCTGGGGTCGCCGGGCTGGTGGTCGGTGGGAGTGGACAGTCTCGCCTGTGCCCTCTTGCTTCAGAGAGAAGTTCGTTGGCTCTGATTTGCTGTTGCAGCAGGAACAGGAGGAATCCTTGGGGACAGGAGGGGCACCTTCCAGGGGCTGCCTTTGGCTCAAAGCGTAAGGCGGGACCTCGGGCGAAGGCAGGGAGGGCCCTTGCCAGTCCTGGCTGCACCTCTGGGGAGTCTGACCATCTGTGCCTCAGGTTCCCCTTCTCCACCGTGGAGGGAGGGTGGCTAGAACCCCGCCTTCAGAGAAAGGCACCCACAGAACAAACGAGCACATTTCGGGGCATGAACCACCCACTGGAGGATTTGGTGGGAAAGTGATTTTAGCGGGGTGCAGGTGTGTGCAGTGGGGCGCTGCCCAGGGGGAAAGGGGGCTCGTAGGGCCCTGCGGCCGGCCATCCACGGGCCCCGCGCTCAGTCTGCTGCAGTGTGGGGTTGGACCACAGACGGCGGGCTGAGCCAGGGTCAGCACAAGCGTGGCCTTGGAGTCCAGAGCCTGCAGTGGGTCCAGGGGAAGCACGTCCCGCCCGTGCCTGTCCATGGGTGTTCGTGCCAGAGACTCCGCCTTGCTGGGCGCCTGGTGCTGGGCTGGCGCCCTGGGACCCTGGGACACAGGTACGCGGCACATCCAGGCCCTTCACCAGACACTGACATGGAGCGCTGGCTCTCGATCGAGGGGGGCACTGGGTGCCAGCGGTCACAGTTGCCCCCCAAAGGTACCCCCCCAGCTTCCTCTTCCTTCCAATAACTGCATTTGGAGAATGTACAGTCAGATGTCAAGCTGCTAGTTGACAGGAGAAAATATTTTATTTGAATTGGATGAAATTTGAACTACAAGTCATGTTGCTAAATAAATATGTGGTTTTGATTCACTGTTCCTGTAACGTGGTTCTCTTCGGCTGGAGAGTTTGAAACATCAGCCAGGAGCCTCTGATATCCAGAGGGAGGAGTGAGGTGGGCGAGGGAGGGAGGGAATAAGAGAATGAGAGAGGGAGGGAGAATAGGAGGGAGGAGGAGGGAGCTTGGCAGCCCTGCTGCTCCAGGGAGATGGACAGAGACAACGTGGAGAGTGAAGCTCTGAGTTAGGTGCTGGGGTGGGTGGATGATGGGTGGATCATAGATGGATGATGGACGGATGGTGGATGGATGGATGGATGGATGGATGGATGGATGGATGGATGGATGGATGGATGGTGGATGGATGGATGGATGGATGGAGGATGGATGGAGGATGGATGGATGGAGGATGGTGGGTGGATGGTGGGTGGATGGATGGATGGATGGATGGATGGAGGACGGATGATGGTGGGTGGATGGACAGATGCGTGTGGGTGAGCACGCCAGCTTGCCTTGAGTGGCTCTTGGTGGCAGTGGGTGTCTGAGGACAGGCTTCTCCTCTTGGGTGTCGAGCTGCTCCCGTGTCCCCAGGTGAGTCCCTGTGTGCCACTCATTCAGGGGCTTTTATCCTTTTCCAGGGTGACATCCAGCAGCTACTCTTCGTCTCAGACCACCGGGCAGCTTACGATTACTGCGAGCACTACAGCCCTGACTGTGACACCGCCGTCCCCGACACCCCCCAGTCGCAGGACCCCAACCCAGATGAATACGTGAGTCAGCTCTGGCCGGTTCCTGGTGGGAGTCGTGGGGGCCGGCAGGCGGGGTGGGGGTGCAGGAACATGGAAGCCGTGGGACCCGTGTGGATTGATCCTGAAAGGATGTTCGCTGAGGACCATTTCCTTTAAGTTTCAGACGAGTTTTTGACAACGAGGGCGAGGTGCCTCTCCTACCTGATGGCTTACGACCTAGGTTGGGTGTCTGTGAGCGGAGATGCCACAGGTGTCCTCGGGGACTGTCTGGAGCTGGCCAGGCAGGAGGGCACTGAGGGCTGTTCCCTGCGGAGGGGGACCCTCTGACCCCCCGAGTGGCAGTGACTGCGAAGAGCAGCCTTGTCCCGAGCCTCAGGAGCGTGTCCCTCGCCTCGTCCCCCTTGCTGTGACCTGCCGTGGTCTGCGGGTCCACCTTTCTCATCCCCCTCCCTCACACCCCTGCCGCGCCTGGCTTGGCTTTTTGTTAATCCTCCCGCTGCCGGTGAGAATCCTCCCCGGCCCCTGCTCAGGGTGCCCCCACTTCTCTTAACTCGTATTCAGCCTTGCTCTTCATCTCTCCTCCGGCCCCCTTCTTTCACGACCACTCGAAGAGGAGGAAGAGTGGCCCTCACGAGGCCGTGGGTCTCCTGGCCCAGGCGCATCTTACACGCCCGAGAACGGCCTGGCCTGGCCGGTGACCCCAGCACAGCTCCTGTGGACCAGGCCCCCTGGCCGGCCCTCCTCGCTCCGCATGCAGAAATGGTCCTGAGGACCGGGGCTCCCCCTGTTTCTGCGAAGCGCCCCCTCTGTGCTCTGGGGCTCCCGTGCAGGGCAAGGCGCCCTGAGTGGCAGCAGCGTTGCCAGCAGAGCCTGGAGGTTCCGGTCCTCTGGTCCTCGGGTTCTAACGAGGACGGACCTCTTAAGACTTAAGTTTCTTTGAAAGGGACCTGGATGGGGTTCCCCATTTCCTCCCTTGGCCTTCTCACGGTGCCAGCTCAGCTTCCCGAGGAACGTGGAGGGGGAAAGGAGCCCTGTCAGGCCGCACGGGCGTGTCCTGCAGCCGGGCCTGGCTCTCCGGTGTCCGCGTGTCCCGGCTGAGCCCGGAGCGTGGGGAGGAAAGCAGGCTGGTCGCCCGACGGCCCCCTTTCCTCACGCGCCCCATCTATTGCAGTACCCGGACGGAGAAGGGGAAGGCGAGACCTACTACTACGAGTACCCCTACTACGAGGACACCGACCACCCGAGCAAGGAGCCCGCGCCTACCAAGGAGCCTGTGGAGGCTGCTAGGGAGACCACAGAGGTTGCCGAGGTCTGGGCGGGCAGGCTGCCGGTCCCTGGAGGCCGCGGGGTGCGGGGTAGGGGGACGGTGGCCACTGGGTGGCCACGGGGTGCGGGGTGCGGGGACGGGAAGCTGCCGGTCCCTGGAGGCCATGGGGTGCGGGGTGCGGAGACGTGTGGGGGCCACTGGGCGATGCGAGGCTGGAGGCGGCGGGGAGAAGCTCAGTCGGGAAATGAGGGACTGAGTGACGGGTGCTTGTACATGCTTCGTGCTTAGGGACGAGCTGGGCAGGGGGTTCTCTGGGGTGATGTGTGACATCAAGGGCACAGTCCCCTCCCACGGGCTGTCCCAGAGACTGGAGCATGTTGCCCTAAGGTCGGGAGTGTTCTCGTGCTTTGAGATGCGATCCACCCTTTCAAGTGCCTCATGGGGGGTTTCGGTCCATCCTGAGCACCCCTGGGCCGAGGTGGCCCACGCCCGAAGCGCATGGGGCTCCTGGCTGGCTGAGGGGCCCACGCTTCGCCACGGAGGAGCCCCGAGACCTGGGCCCGGCCGTGCCGGCCCTCTCCCCAGCCCTGCCTCTCTCTGCCCGGCTCTTAGGAGGTGACCCTGCCCCCCACGGTAGCCCCTCCAGTGCCCGACAGCAGCGCGGGGGCCGGGAAGGAGGACCCCGGCATAGGGGACTACGACTATGTGCCCAGTGAGGACTACTACACGCCGCCCCCGTATGAGGACCTCGGCTACGTGGAGGGCCTCGAGGACCCTGACCAGCTCCCCGACCACGGCCCCGGGGCCGGAGTTCCCACCAGCACAACCGACACCTCCAACGCCTCCAACGTAAAGCTCTCCTCTGAGTGGGCTTGTCTAGGGGAGGGGCAGGACCTCTGCAGTGGGCTCTGCTCCCACGGAGGCTGAGTGGGGTCGGGTCCACTGGGTCGATCCCTGGTCAGCTTCTCATGTGCAACGTGGGCCCTGCCCACAGGCCTCCCGGGGCTCAGGCTGGGGGGCGGGGGAGGGATGGGTGACCGCAGCGGGCTGGCAGACGGTGTCCCTGTCTGTGTGGCCTGGGGAGGGGTCAGGCTAGACAGGTACACAAGTTAGGGATCTGGACAAGCAAAGAGACGTGAGGCGGGAGGTCCTGATGTGAGTTTTCTTGAAGTCTCTGCCAGTGACTTTGGAAAGTGACGTCCCCTCTCTCCATCTCTGTTCTCATTTACAACGAGGCACCGATGTGCCCGCCCCCTGGGTCGTTGCCAAGTTTTCAGACTCAGGAGGAATCCAGCACGGTGCACGGCCCAGTAAAAGCTTAAAAACGGCCACCACGTGCTGCTGAATCCTTGACACCACAGAGCGGACACGCGGGGTTCTGAGGGGCCTGAATCCTCTGCCGGTGGGTGTGGACCCAGGGGCCTGTGACCCGGGCCCGGAGGCCTGCCGCACGCAGCTGCCATCCCGGAGCAGCCCTGGTTAGCCACGGGGTGTCCGGGGGTTGGGTGACAGCTTTCCCACAGTGAGAGGAAGAAGATGTGTGAAGAGGCCATCAAGGGCCCCGGGAGGTCTGCTGACAACTTAGACTCCAGGCTCCCAGAGGCCACTGTCCCCGGAGGCCTGAAGCTGGGAAGGGAGGGGCATCTCTGTCCAATGACTTGGCGTCCTCTGGGTGACCCCTGCTGCCCTCTCCCTCTCAGCCAGCTCCAGCCCCAGGGGAAGGAACAGCCGACCTGGACGGGGAGTTCACGGAAGAAACCATCAAGAACCTGGACGAGAACTACTACGACCCTTACTATGACCCCACGGTCTCGCCGTCCGAGATCGGGCCGGGCATGCCGGCGAACCAGGACACCGTCTTTGAAGGGGTGAGGGGCTGGGCGGGGGCAGGGCCTGGGGGTGGGCTCGTGGCACCGGGGGGCAGCCTTGCTCGCCTCACTCCCCTGGGCCTGGGGCGGCTGCTGGGAGCAGCCCTGCCTTGGAAGCGTCATTACCGCTGGGCTGTCACCTGGCCTTCTCTTCCCTCCCCGACCTCATTCTCTCTCCACCTGTGTTTTGTGAACTTCAGATCGAAGGACCACGAGGCGAGAAGGGGCAGAAGGGCGAGCCCGCCATCGTGGAACCAGTAAGGGCGCTTTCTCTCTCCTCTCTGAGACGGGCAGAGGTGGGGAGGCCGCGGCTCGGGGGCGTGGCCAGACCCCTGGGGCCCTGCACCCCAGGCCCTGGGCCACTGTGAGGAGCTCTGTGACCGCACGGACTCCAGGTGCTGCTTAGAGCGGAGACTCGGGCGGGGCGACGTCCCGGAGCTTGGCTGAGGCGGTGGCTCTGTGGGTTCCACGTTGGTCCAAACTCTGCCCTTCAGACGCGGGCCTGTGTGTTCACACTGTGTCAGCTGATCAGAGGAGACCCAGGCGTTCTGGGGGAGGCAGGGCCCCTCTGGGGGGCGGGAGGCTGCAGATCTGCGGTGGGCAGTGGAGGCCGGGTAGCCAGAGCTCCGCCTTATGGGCGGGGTGCAGCTGTGGGGGGCGTTTGCTGGCGCGTGTGGGCCGCCCCCTCCCTGGGACGTGCTGCCACAGTGCTGTCCTGGCTCCAGCTGGGTAGGACCCAGCGGTGCTGGTGACGGGCGCACGGCCATCACACTAAAGGGCCGCCGATGGTGTCTGCTCGTGTGAGACCACAAGGGCGGGTGGAGCCCTAGCTGCCCCTCAGGCAACCCACTTAATGCTGGGGTGTCCTCTGATGTCGGGGCCATGCCTTGCTGGCAGCCCCGAGGTGCACCCTGTGGCCAGAGAGCTGCCTGTTCAGGGCCCTAACCCCACCGCCCACGGCGAGATGCCACGTGACCAGGTGCCGGGGTCCCCCCACTCGTCACCCCATGTGAGGGAGGAGTGCGGCCGGCCTGGGGTGCAGCATTTCTACCAGGCCCCAGTTCCTGATGGCTGAGCCTAGGATGCAGCGTGGGGTTCCCAGTGCTCTTCTGACCATGGACTCCTAAAGTACAGAGCCGTGGTGGTCTCCATCCTCCTGGGGACCTGAGAAGCTTCTTTCGCACCCTTGACTGGCAGCATGTGGCCAGCTCCCCAGGGAGACCCGAAGCCCAGTGGCCAGGGCTAAGGGTGTGTCCCATCTCGGGGAGCGAGCTCTCAGTGAGCAGCTGACGCTGCTCGGCCCGGCCCGCGGAAGCATCTGGGGCTGCAAAGGCGCTTGGCGGCTCTACACCCTTCCTCCGGCCTGTTCCAGGGATGGGACCCCGTGCTCCCACTGGGCTGTGGCCACTGGACGCGCTTCCTTTCCTCAGACTGGGCCATCTCCCTCCCAGTGCCCTCTGTGAGTCCAAGCAAGACGGGGCTTATCTGGATGAGGGTGCAGGGGAAGGGTGCAGAGGTGCCTGGGGCAGCGGGGAGCCAAGGCCAGGTGGCCCCTTGCTCAGCCACACGAGAAGTCCGGACACCAAGTCCAGATGACCCACGGGGAAGGAACGTGTAGTTCAGCCTGGAAGCCGTCCCAGAAGAATGGAGTGTCACCTCTCCGTGGGTGGCTTGAGCGGTGCTTGTCCACTGGGGTGTAGAGACTGACAGTGACATTTGTGCAGATGGCTTTGGTCCCCAGGTGGACATGCTGTTGACTTGGAGTGCCTTTTGTGGTGTCAATACTTCAGTGAAGGAGCACCTTGCCCGGGAAAAGTGGGAGCCCAGGGCAGGGGGCTGCCTAGGCTGCGGGGTCCGGGTTTGGTCCCCTGGCTCTGGGGGTGCGGGCAGCTAGGCTGGCACCTCTGCCTGTATAAGCTTCCTGTTTGCTCACGTCCCCAGAGTGGGCAGACTCTGGAGGGAGAGTCATGCGTCCCAGCCCTGGGAGCTCCGGTGACGGGCCCCAGGCTCTGCTAGTGGGGGCGGCCGGAGCAGCGGGCTCAGAACACGGGCAGGCCACACCGGACGAACGCCCCTCTGCAGAAAGCCCGTTTCAGCTTTGCGGGAGAAAACCGCCGCCTGGACACGGTCGGGGGAGGGCGACCTCTCTCTCGGGCCCTGGCGTCACTCCTGCCCAGCCCCCAGCCTGCTCGAGTGTCCACAGGCCCGTGTCCCTTGTCCCTAGAGGAATCATGTGAACAGTTGGAGTTTCTCAGTCTGGAGCGTCGCCAGATGTCCTCAGAGTCTTAACCCCCATAGACAGATGGCCGCGGCCTGGGAGACGCTGACGTGGTCTCCCCGCCGACTGCGGGCCGAGGTGGCGGTGGCCGTCCCCTCGCCCACTTGCTCCAGAGACCTCCTTCTGGGGCGACGTGGCTCACGGTCGGTGCAGCTTGGAGCCAGCGCTTCTCTGCACCCGTCCCGGGGACACGCGGCTATTTCCCGCTCAGATCGGGCACCTCCCGCAGCGTGTCAGCAACGTCCCAGGCGCCTTAGCGGGGCGGGGCTGCACTCTGCCGAGAGCAAGCGGGGCACTCGGCCTCGGGGCTCCCGGCCACTTGGGACCTCAGGGACCCGGGAGTCGCAGACTCAGCGTTCCCGGGCGAATGTCCGTCGGAGGCTTTCTCCTCTGGTTTAAAAAGCATGTTTTTGGCATGTGCTGTTTAGCACGTGGGTGACCTCCATTAAGAGACTTGAGTTTCGCAAAGGCTGCCTGTTTTCTTAGTTACTCTCCCGGCTGAATTTTGAGACAGGCGTCTGCTCCCTGGTGAAGTGCGCCCAAGGCTAGCATGCTGCAGCCAGGCCACCCTCTGTTGTCACAGAGCCCTCCTTGGCGGTGGCCACGGGGGCGGGCTCTTCTGGGCGATGGCTTCTCCGGGAGGGTCCAGGCATCTCTGCAGGGTTGCCCCGCGGTCCCCGGCTTCCCTCCCAGGCTGGCCTGGATCGATCTGGGCGGGCCCTCCCGTGATATCCCGCCCAGCATCGCCCAGCGCCCAGCGCAGCAGTTGGTGTGTCTGGGCAGGCAGCCGTTGTCCCCGGGCCCCGCCGTGGCCAGAGGTCGGGCCCCTCACCCTGGCTCAGTTTCTGAGCCTTCGCAGCCGTTTTTGTCAGCGGAGGAGGCAGGAAGCTGGGCTTACAAAGCTGTCGGGACGAGCTCGCTGTGTGCATCTCGTGTACAAACGCCTCTCTGGTGCACGTCTGTGTCACCGTGGTGTGCATCCTCGCAGTGACCGGGGGCCGTGGTGGGAGGGACGGTGGGGGGTTGGAGGGGCTCTGCAGCCCCCTGATGAAGCCTCCCACCCCAGCCCATCCAGAGACTGCTGCTCAAGACGCCTGCCAGGACAGTGGGTGCCACCCCGGGCCCCAGTCTGTGTCCTCTGGTCACTCAAGCTGGGGGCTCTCTTCACCAGTAGGGTCTGTGGGGGACCAGGGTCACACTGGGGCCTTGGGAGGGGTGGGGACCTAGGGTCTCAGCCGCTGTCTCCGTCTCTTCCAGGGCATGCTCTTGGAGGGACCACCAGGCCCTGAAGGCCCCGCAGTGAGTGTCACTTTATCTTCCCATGACGTGTGGGTGGTACTCGGGGACGGGGGATTGGTGACACCCCTTAAAGCTCCTGAATGGAAAAGAGGGGCGCTCGCCACTTTTTGCAGACCCCGGGGCCCAGCACCCTCGTCGAGCCACGCGAGAATTGGGTGTTCCCTGGGGCCGCATGTTTGAACTCTGTCCTGACTTTATTTTTAATTCTAGGGTCTCCCAGGACCTCCAGGAACGATGGGTCCCACGGGCCAAGTGGGTGACCCCGGAGAAAGGGTAAGTAAGGGCTGACTCAGCCACGCTCCGTGGGACCCTAGTCCCACGGAGGCTGCCAGCGGTCAGCTCACTGCGGCGGCCAGGCAGTGCTGCGTCAGTTGACGGTGACAGGGACCACAGCAGCTGCCCCGGCCAGAGCACTCTGGTGCTGTCCCTGCGTCACACAGAATCGGCAGTGACTCCGCCTCGATCTGCGGATTTCGTCGCCCCCCGCCCTTCTGTGTTGGAAATAACACAACGGACATGCAGGGAGCTGTCCCCAGACAAAGGGATTCACCCGGGGTGCCCTGGTCAGAGGGATGCACCCGGGGTCGCTGCGGGAGGGACGAGGGCTGAGCCCCGAGGCTGCAGTTTCGTTCTGACACCTCGCGGCCCCGTGGGTCCTCGCCTGGCCTGGCTCTTGTCCTTCTCTTTCTGTCGCGTGCCGAGCCGGTGACTCCAGGTGAGCACAGTCAGCTGGACCAGGAGCAGGTGTCCTAACGAGCATCTACCCCTGGGCCTGGCGTGGCCTGGAGCAGAGTGCGGACCTAGGGTTCGGGGTGGACATGGAAAGGTGGCCGGGGTCCACCTCTGAGGCCACACGCAGGCCCAGGGCTGGTGGCTGTCCGCCGCTGGGCTCTGGAGAGCTGCTTGGGCGCTGCGGCCAGCTGCCTGTGGACAGAGCAGCTGACGCTGTTAGCTGTGGGACAGGGAGGAAGCCCTCCTGGCCCTGCGCGTCCTTGTGGTGACCGCCGAGTCCCGCTCAGTAGGGGCCTCGGTGCGCTCTGCCACTCGGCTTCGCTATGGCTGGCGGCTTTGGGGCCGCAGAGGACGCGGATTTTGCTCCATGGCTGGGACTTGGCCGGCCTCTGGGTCGCTTGGCCCTTCCACACGTGCCTGGCTGGGCAGCGCGCTGCTGCCCGCTCTGCCACAGTCGGAATTCCACACAAGCAAGTGGGGGCCACTGCTCTCCCCTCCCCCCAGGACCGGCACGACTCAAGTTCTGCAGCTAGTTCCAAAAGTCTGCGTGACGTGTGGTGACAGCCGAGTCCCCACAGAGCCATCGTCGGGTGGACCCATGAGTGTGGTGGAGTCCACACGTCGACCGGAGAAGCCCATGTGACATAGTGGCGGCTGTTGTTTTCTCTGAGACGTAGGGCGGTCGCTAAGCCACACGTAGCGTGTGTGGACATTGACTGATGTCTCCACGGTGTTGCTCCGGACACGCGCCACTCAGCCCGCAGGGCTGGGCACCGGCCTGGCTCAGGGGATCTAAGTGCTCGTGACCCAGGAGGACACTGCAGCCCACTCAGTCCCAGGGAGCGGAGCCCCCCTGCTGCCCCGGCGTGCGGACCCATCTTCTCCGCGTGCTCCTCGGGGCTCGGGGCGTCTTGGCAGAGTTGCACACACATGGGCCCCCCACACAGACTGACGCACACTGACACGTGTGCACGCGCTGTAGTTCAGGGGTCCCCCACCCCTGTCTGTGCACCAGTCCCGGTCCCTGGCCTGCTAGGAACTGGGCCGCACGGTGGGAGGCGAGCGGAGGGCGAGTGGGCGAAGCTGCATCTGTATCCGCAGCCGCTCCCCAGCGCCGCCGGCATCACCGCCTCAGCTCCGCCTCAGGTCCCCAGGCGTTAGATTCTCTCAGGAGCCCCGGTCCCTGGCGCCACAGAGGTTGGGGAACGAACGTCGTCCGTTCCCTGCGGCATCCCTCCCTGGAGGTGGCCCAGGCCTGTGGGCACGGGCAGCCCAGCCCTGACTGACCGCTGCCTCCAGTCGCATTCGTCTTTCGTGTCTGTCTTGTACCCCAAGGCCACGATGGGAATCGCTCCAAGTTCCGGGTGCCCTTACACAGGACCCGTGGGAAAGGTGGGTCTCCGCCCAGCATGCTGGCATCGTGGGAAACTCCCACAGGGAGCCGCTTATGCAGCAGACAGTGCGTCTGCGCGGGCGGCCTCCGCCGCAGAAGCGGAGTCCACGGCACGGTGTACGGAGGGAGCGGGCCAGAGAGAACACCCAGGACGTCGCCGCAGAAAGGAGCGGCTTGCAGAAGTCACGAGCCAGCGCTGGGGTGCGTCTGTTCCGTCAGAGCCACCCGTGTGCCCTGCTCGGTGTTAACCGTAGTCAGGAAGTGAAGGACCCCGTGAGCCACTCGCAAGCTCCGTTTTCTCACGCGGGCCGGTCACTGTGAGTCATCTCTGCAGGAGGCCAGGCGATACTTCTTATTTCGCCTTGAACCTGTGGCTGGAGCCCAGAAAGGGAGGTCTCCATGACCTCACTTCCCCTTGCCGGAGTGTCCCTGGGTATCCAACACAGGCCGTGGGACAGAGAGCCAGCCACATCATTGGTTTGTGTTCAGTGCTCCAGAAAACGCGTAGGCGGCTTTGATTAGCCCCATCTTCCAGCTCGGGGACAAAGTATGTGACAGACCTCAGTGCTTGGCAAAGGTTTGCTAACAGCTGTTTCAAGCCGGAGGAAGTACAAGTTCAGGTTCGCGGCTGTGCAGGACGCATGTCAAATTCACAGCGTTGGAGGCTTCCCGGTGGCCGCTGTCCCCTGACGTCCCTTTTCTCCTGGGAGTCCGGTGTCCTCGCTCCTGTTTTCACGTTCTTTCCCCGTGGCTGCCCGGTGGTAGCAGAGAGGAAGTGTTCCACCCCGAGGGCGAAAGTGCCTTTGCAGCCTCTGGGCTTGAACTGTCACCCCGTGGCTGAGAGGGAGCAGGGAGGAGCAGGGAGCAGCAGGGAGCAGCAGGGAGGAGCAGGGAGGAGCAAGGAGCAGCAGGGAGCAGCGGGAGCACCAGGGAGCACCAGGTAGGAGCAAGGAGCAGGGAGCAGCAGGGGGGAGCAGCAGGGAGGAGCAGGGAGCAGCAGGGAGGAGCGGGAGCAGCGGGAGCAGCGGGGAGCAGGGAGCAGCAGGGAGGAGCAGGGAGCAGGGAGGAGCACAGGGAGAGGGTCTGGGAAGGTGGGAGTGGTGGAGGAGGGGCCTGGCTTGCAGCGCCACACCAGGGGCCACCAGGAGCACGTGCACTACGCGGATGACGTGTCATCCCTGTGTGATCTGGGATGGACTCGGAGGCGGGGAGCGGGGCTTTCCCAGGGGGAACCTGGGCAGCCGAATGTGCTCTAGGCTTTTCTGTTTTAAACAAGTTTTTAATTTTCTGAGAATTTTTTTTTCCAAGATGACAAGCAAGGGCAATTTGGCTGTGTCCTTTAGCAATAAGAGAAAAAAAAAAAAAAAAAACCAGTGTAACCCTTTGACCCAGCAGTTGCGCTCCAGGGACAGACCTAAGGAAGATGCTTGAATGTTCATCGTGGCAGCCCGTGTCACTCTACAAACTGGAAACGACCCAAATGTGCACGGGGGGAGGGCAGATAAATAAATGAGTCACCCGGCGTGGGACGCTTCTCGCTGTTACACAGAACAAGGCCACACCCAGAGGGGGCCGAGACGGGCAGTGAATCGCAGCACGACATGGAGAAGCCGGTCTCGGAAGTGGGGACACACCGTGGGCGGACGATCACGTCCCAGACCGTGTGTCGGGGCCGCCTGCTTCCAGCTTCTCGGCACGTCAGAGCTGAGCTCCGGGGACTTCGGGGAAGGAGCGGGGCCTTCGCTTTCCACTCCGTACAAATCCGTGTGTCATGAGGACGGGGATTGCTTCTGCGACAGGAAACATTTACTGGCGAGAAAAGTGTCAGTCCAGACCTGGACGGGTCCACGCCTTCTGGACTGTTCCAGGAGAAGCACCCCGGTTCTTGGTCTTCTCTGCGGAGAATCAGGAATCGATCTCGTGTCCCTGCCGGGGGCATCACTCGGTCACCGTCGTCACCGTCAGCACAGAGGCCAGGGACCAGCGCCCACGTGTTCAGCTGGAGGGCGGCCAGCGGGAGCCTCTCCCCTGGGGGAGGGAGCTGAACTTCCGTCCACACACAAACAAGCCTGGTCTGCTCGGCTCCTGGGGTCTGAGCTGGTTAAAAGGCTGAGGGGTAAAACCTGGCCTGGGAGTAAACCGCTTACAGAGCGTTTTGCAGGACTGCAGCCCCACCCTCCCGCTGTGCCCCCCTCTGGGCCCCCCAAACCTCTCTCTTTCCTCATGTCCGTACCCCAGGAGGCTTCCCCATCCTGTCCACAGCGACGTGCCGCCTTATCAGGGCTTGGGGTGCGGAACATCCCGTGCCCCGGCGTTTTGCAGGGTCGGTGCTTGTCCAGTGTGTTTCCAGCTGCTCTGTGGCTTCCGACCCCAGCTCCGTCCCTGTGCACTCTGACCCGGCTCTCTCTGCTCCTCTGTCCACAGGGTCCCCCTGGACGCCCAGGTCTTCCCGGGGCCGATGGGCTGCCCGGCCCCCCTGGAACCATGCTCATGCTGCCTGTAAGTCGCCTTATTTGTGGGGGCAGGTGGCCGGGCTCAGGGGTGCTCAGGGCTTCAAATGCAGCAGGAGTGGGGCCTCGCGCTTTGTTTCTGAGGGGGACGATCTCTCCTGGCCACAGTCTCGCCCCAGCCTGGGCCCACGTGTCATAGCCGTAGGCTCCTTGGGGGCGACCCACTCTCCTGAAGAGTGGACACCAGTGGTCAAGGTCTCCATCTCTTGGCCGGCGTCCAGGGCTGGCCCACCCAGGAGGGATGGAGTCAGGTTCTCAGAAGGAAAGCTGTGGGGCTTCTGCCTTCGTGGTCAGATACCCCGCTTCGCTACTCGGACCCCCAGTGGACACGCTGCCAGCTGGTCCTTCCTGGAGCCTGGCCTGCCCATGACCTTATGGGTGACGGCCACGGGGCCATCTCCTTCATGGGGAGCTGAGGGCCGGAGACAGAGTATGTGGCTGATGTGGACGTCGGTCCTCTGACTGAGCCCATGCCACCTACCCGTCCGATGCCCGAGAGGCTGGGTGCAGCTCAGGGGCAGCTCGTGTGGAACCAGGACCGTCCTGGCCAGGCCGCCTGAGCGCAGCCTTCTGCATGGCCCTTGGCTCCTCCCTGCAGTAAACAGGGACCACGGGGTCTCAGGGTGAGGTGCGGCAGAGGCCAGAAAGGGCTTCCTGGACTCGGGGAGGGGGCTCCTGGGGGCTGAAGTTGGCAGGTGGGGCCAGGGCAGCTCTGGGCTGGAGAGTAGGGGGTAGGCATGGGGAAGGCTCTGGGGCTGGGAACTGCTCACCCCGACCCTCCGAGTTTCTGCAGTCACTTAAGAGGCCGAAGGACACCACTTGACCCCGAGGCGCAGCATGGGCACCCAGGCTGTGCACCCTTGGTGACCCCCTGTCTCACACCCGCAGTTCCGGTTTGGAGGGGGTGGCGATGCTGGCTCTAAAGGCCCCATGGTCTCGGCCCAGGAGTCCCAAGCTCAAGCCATTCTGCAGCGGGCCCGGGTGAGTGGCCCTTGGTCCCTGGGGGATGGGGCTGGGCGGGGACACCTCTGTGGGGGGAGCCCCAGGGGTCCCAGAGCCCCTCGCTCGGCCCGGGGTCCTGCGGAGCCTTTGCGTTCTGCACGTCAGCTGACCGGCGGGCTGAGTTTCTGATTAGTGAGGCTGGACCATTGATTGGCCGTGACGCGTGCAGATGCCAGCTGCGGGTGGGTGGTCCTTCAGCAGAGCGCCTGTTACGGGGCATCGCAAGGAGCCGCTAAGTAAGCCCTTGTTTGGCGACGTTTGTGTGGCTCCCAGCCAGCGGGGCAGATGCTAACGAGCAGAGCGCGTGGGTCATGGCAGGCGGCTCCAGAATCGGGTCGTTGCGGCAGAGCAGGTTACCGGAGTGCCACAGTGCAGAGCCGCAAACCCGTTCCCCGCGACGGGTCAGTGGCCGGGGCTGCCTGCGGGCCGTTTCCTCTGGTGACGTTTTAATAGAAGCCAGGCGGGGTCAGGCCTACAAGTAGGTCTTACTTTGCAAAAAATCTTCCGAAACGGGAATGGCGTCGTGCATGGGGCGCAGGATAGGTCCCGAAGAGGGTGGGTTGTCTATGCCATGGCAGGTGCATGGGCCCTCCGGGTGGGACAGAGCCAGGGTCGTGGGGTGGGGGCAGGGCCGCCCCGGCAGTGTCCGGGTCCCCTTGGTGTCCTGGCCGGATCCACGGGTGGCTGGGGCTCCAACAGCACCCGCGCTTCTGGGGCTGCTTTAGTTCACCCAGGGGGGCTCCCCAGACACGGGAGGCCGCTAGGTGGCCCTCCCGGGAACATGATTTACTCTGGGAGAGAACTCGGGTGTGAAATACGTGCCCGGCCCAGCAGGGAGGCCGCGCTGCAGGCTGCCCCAAGGGAGATGGGCTGGGAAGCACGGAGCACCCGTCCTGGACTGGGGAGTGCCCACCCTCCGGGCCCCCCTGGGCCTCCTCTGTTCCATTTGTGGTTGGCGCCAAGAGGCCCAGCGGGTGGAGGCGGGGCTTCCGGGCTCCATCCCACCTCCCCCTCCAGGGGCTCCTTCCTGCTGGCCCTTCTCACCTGTTGGGACCGGTACACCTGCCATTTCTCAGCCCGTCCTGTTTCCTCTTGCAGCTGGCGTTGAGGGGGCCAGCCGGCCCGATGGGTCTTACTGGGAGACCTGGCCCCATGGTAAGTGCGGGGCGGGTGGGGCGGGGCGTCCCCCTCATCCCCTGCCCTTTCTCCCCAGCTCATTTTGGAAGGACACACGCTAAGCTGCCACCGACACTGATTCTGCCACTGGCACCAGGGCAGGGGAGGGCCCCTGGGTGCGGGGCCGCAGGGCCCGCCACACTCGCTCTGGCTGCCATTCTGCCTCCTGACCGTGGGGCTCCGAGCCCCCTTTCGGGGGTCACCGTTCTTCAGTTGTGCTTCCAGAGTCCAGGCTGCAGCGGGGCGGGGCAGCCCGGGCTGCTGGCCCTGCCACACAGGGCCTGTGGATGGGTCTCTGAGGACTATGAGCGGCCTTTGCAATTTGCAAGGAGAAGGAGGGTTTAAATGCACGGTGTCCCCATGCCTGTCCCCTAGGAGGGGCTGGGCTTGGCCGCCAGCCCCGGTCCGTGGTCAGTGCCCTCCCCATCTGTGTGGCTCAGGGCTGTCCCCCATCTGGGCCTGGGGTCATGACACACCGCGGTCAGATTCATCCCGGAGAGACCAGCTTTGCACTGAGCTCTGTGGCTCTTGTGCCCGTCGCCACTGTCCAGAATCTTGTTCAGAACTAGGAGGTCCAGACTGAACCGTTGCTGCCCGCTCCTCGGGTTCTGCCCCAGGCAGGCGGGCTGGCTCCAGGGGCTGGGAGTCTGTGGGCCCTCGGAAGGAGCCCCGCCCATCAGGCGGTCCTGAGCGCTGCCCGCAGCCCCCACCCCGGCCGCCCCTCCAGCCTTTGCCTGCTGAGCGTTCCTTACCCAGACCTGTCTCCCTAGGGCCCTCCTGGGAGCGGAGGTCTGAAGGGCGAGCCAGGAGACATGGGCCCACAGGTACGTGAGCACCCCTCCTCTGCTCTCCGAAGGGGCATCTCCGGTGCGTCGAGGCCGTGACTGTGGGGGTGGGGGTGCCCCAAGTGCTGCCTTTCTTCAAGGAAAGTAGTGGGACTTGTCGCCTGACGCGAAGCTGGAAGTGTGGCAGAGTTGACTGGCGTCTGCAGGGGGAGTGGGCTGGCGGCTCTCCGTCCCCAGCCCTCACTCAGGGCGGTGGGTCCTGTGCCCTGTCTGCGAGTTGGCAGCTGGGAGGATGAGCCACGGGCCGGGTTGACAACATGGGGACGAGACTGTGCTTTTGCCTCTGAGAAGCATGGACGCACACTGACCCTTTGCCCCCCGATTCTGGACAGGGCCCCCGAGGTGTGCAGGGCCCGCCCGGCCCCACAGGAAAGCCTGGAAGAAGGGTGAGTGTCTTTGGGCTCAGCGCCCACTGGGGCACGGATGGGGCGGGACTGCAGGGCGTCTGCCCCCCGTGCCCACTGCGTAGGCCAGGCCTGGCTCCGGAAGGCCCAGGGGACTCTTTTTGAAGACACACTCTCCAGGGCCGGGGTCCCATTCCACCGGGTAGTGGGCTGGGCCCGCGGCCTCCGTCCTGAGCATCTCAACTTAGTTTCACAAGCAGTTTTAACGAGAGCAGCTTCCCAGGCCCTGTGGGAGCGAGCGTGGAGACGACAAAAGTGTTGGTGGCCTCGCTTCAGCCTTGTTTCTCCAGATAACGGCCTGGGTTTGCGGGGAGCCGCCAGGCCGGCCCGCAGCTCACCTGTTCCCCTAGCCACCTGGATTCTTTGTTCAGATGTAATTAACCGGCAGGAACTAGTTTGTGTCTAGGCCTACTGAGGGAGGGCCCACATTTATACATGAACCGAAGCTGGTGAACCCCACTCAGGCGAGTGGGGGGCGGGGAGGGGCCTAACAGACCCGTTGGACAAGTGGGTCTTTTCAGCCAGTGGGTGTTGCGGGTACGGGAACAAAGCTCTCGTTCCTGCGTTGTAGTCACGGAGCACGAACCTCTTCGAGGAGTGCTGTCCCCTTGCGCTCGCTCTGGCTTCAGGTGAGAATCAGGAATTCCTTAGCGGCCACGGCGCCTCCTGTCCCAGGAGTTAGTTGTCGCTAGTAAGTGGGGGGTGACGGAGGAAGCCAGGCGGGCTCGGCGTTCTCACGTGGGCCCACTGAGGCTGCAGGCCCTGGATCTGTGAAGGGTCCAGACACCAGCTGCGGGTTGGACTAATGACCCTAAAAGGGCCACCGAGGCGGGAATTTTGTGATTCTTGGCAGACAGGTGGCTCTTGGATCCGACTCTGAGACGCGTTTGTTTTCCTGGGTGTTGTTGAAAGCACCTACCAAAGGTGCTATTAGAAGTAGCTTCTCAGTCGAGGTGGAAACTGGAAAGAGAAAAGACGTGAGTGGCTCACAGTACGACTAGTCGCAGCGTGAGGCGGCGCTGGGCCGTCGGCACGCACAACCGCGTCCCGAATCCGCTGGAGCAGCGGGGGGGCGGGAGGAGGCCGCGCAGCCAGCGGCTCCCAGTGGGCTGCGCTCGCCCTGGCGCTTTGTAGGGCAGCCAGGTCACTGTGCCCGATAGAAGCACCTGGACATTTGTCAGGCAACGTCGTGCCGTGACCTCGTGTGAACTCGATTTCTGAAAGGAGAGGCTCCCCGTTGGTGTCTGCGTTTTGCCCGGAGCTGTGTCGCTGGGGCGCCTGCTCTGAGATGACTTGTGGTTCCTGGCATCTCGTAGCGTTTAACTGGGGAGCACAGACCGTCTCGTGTGGTCCCCCGGACCCCCCACTTCCCTCTCCTCTGGTGCTGCCCCCACTGGCTTCATTGTACTTTGAGGCCCAAAGCGGCCGCTCTCCAGATGTTCTGTCTGCTGGTCCCGAGTCACAGGGCGACGGCCTCATTTATCAGGTTGTGCCCGGGACGTGGAGAAGGGAGGAGTGTTGACCCGGGCCAGCCCTTCCCACTCAGCCAGTGATGCGCCTTGTCAGTGAGTGGACCTCTGGTCGGGTCCCTGTCCCCGTCTCGGTGACTTCGAGCCTGGTCTGGCTCTCTTGTGCTTATAGGGCCTTTATGGTGGACACTGGCCGTCCAGGCCCTGCCCTGCCGCCCCATGCCGGTCAGGTGGGGACCGTGGGCTTGTCCTTGACTGTCTCCTTAGCTGGAGATAATGGCCATGGAGTGGCCCCTATGGATGGCCAGACCCTGCCTTTGGGTAGCTGTGGCCTCCAGGAGACGAGCAGCCCCTCCGGTCCTTAGTCAGTCGGACTGACACCAGCTGCTCGCTCTCACCTGTGCTTATCGGTCTTCGATCCAGCCTGTGAAGGTGGCGGGTAAATGTGGATTGGTGTTGAGGGCGGGCTCTCTCTGGAGCTGTGAACTGGCACAAAGGGGCAAGGGGCATCATGGGCAGTTTGAGAGGGCGAGGCCTGCAGAGACCAGGACCACGCGTGAGGTCCCCAGCAGCCCCGGACTCCAGCCAGGCTGCATGGGGCCGGGCACCCTGCCCTGGCTCCACAGGGGCCGCCACTCTGAGGCCTCGTTTGTCTGACGCTTTGCCCTCCTCCATTCCAGGGCCGTGCTGGCAGCGACGGAGCGAGAGGCATGCCTGGACAGACCGGCCCCAAGGTAGGCTGCCACTCTCCGCCTTGCGGTGTCCCACTGCCCGGGTCACTGTCCTCACTGTAGTCACGTTGATGATGTGGCCAACTGCTGGTTACAATGACGAACGTGATTATGATGACAGGTGACGACTTGTGATGCCTGGGGGTGAGACCTTGGGGGTGAGGAAGGCTCTGTTTAGGTCACTCTGGCCTGCTGCAGGAAGCCGGGGGTTGGTGGGCTGCATTTTATGAGCACGTATGGCAGTTGCAGTTAGTTTAGGTGGCGGATTTGTTCGAGTGGGTAGTGAGCACGAGGGGGCGGAGCCCCAACTATGAAAACCACTGACAAATGTACAGATGATGGGGCAGACACTCGGGGCCCAGTGCGGGGAAGGCGTGGCCCCGAAGTTCTCAGGCTACTCAGTTCACATTCACAGGCCCCGAAACCGTCTTGTCCAGGTCTGAGCTCCTGGACTCTGGGGGCAAGAACAGATGCTGCATGTGAACGAAGCCTGTGTTACGCAATCTGGCCAGAGCCCACGGCCCCCGGCTGCTGCGGCTCAGCGTGGCCACCCCTCTGCCCCTGACGTTGGTCCGAAGGTCCCCCATTCCTGGTCCAGCCTTGCTCCTCAGTTTGTCCAGGCCATGCAGGTGTCGGAGGAAATGTCGCCTCCCCCAGAGGGCACCCGCAGAGGGGACAGCAGCTGTTCCCAGGGCGGGATGGAGATGGACCACCCGGACAGCCAGGGGTCCACTCCGTCTGCTCGCCGCTCACCTAGTCGCGGGCGTGGCTGAGCGCTCGGGCGCTCCCAGGGGTCCCGAGCTCGCAGGAGGCTCTGGGCTCAGTGACCTGGGGGGAGGGGTCTTCCTGACTCTCAGCACCTCCTGGGCTTCTTTGAGCAATGGAAGTGTCAGAGCCTGGAGCAGCCTATGTGTCTCGCCCACGTGGTTTATATCCACGCGCTCGGCGCTGTCCCGGGCTCCAGGTGGCAGCTGGGCAGAAGGGAGGGCTGGCCGGGGGGCCAGGATGCGTGGGGCGGCCAGTGCGGGTCCACTGGGGAGCATGAGACGCTGCGTGTGAGGGCGCAGTGACGAGCCTAACGACACAGAGCACACGCTCCCGCTGCTCAGCAGTCGCCCAGGCACGGCAGGTCTTGGGGCTTTGGGCCCCCAGTCTGCGACTCTGGGGCCACCTCTCTGTCTAGGCCTGTGTGGGTGTCTCAGGGAGAAGAGGCCGGGAAGCTGGACCCAAGGCAATGGAATGTGTGGTGACAGGTGGGCCGGCAGCCACCACACACAGGGTCCTGGGGCCCAAGGAAGGCTGGCCTTCATTGTGAGCGGGGCGGTCTCTGAGCAGCCCTCTGTCCTCCTCGCAGGGCGACCGTGGCTTCGATGGCCTGGCTGGACTTCCGGGAGAGAAGGGCCACAGGGTAAGTGCCTCTCGTCTGAGAGTCCCTGGCACTGGGCCTGATGGGGTCTGTGCGGCAGGGCCATCTCGAGAGGCCCTTCCAGGCAGCCTTGGGCTTCTGGATGGGACCGGGTCCCCTCGACCCCAGAGTGGCCACCGAAGAAGCCTTGTGGGGTGGGGAGTGGAAATGGACACGACCTGACGACTTTGGTGACGGGAGGTCGGCCCAAGGGCGCGATGCCATACCTGAGGCCTGTGGCAGGCGCAGGGTCACTCTGGTGATTCCAGGAGGTGGGGACGGTCCAGCGCCCACTCCTGGTGGAGAGGGCGGGGCGCACTGCGCCTGGCAGCCACCCTGACACCCTCATCCTGATCACATGGCTTCCACGGGCCGGCTCTCCGCAGTTCAGGGGCGCTGTGTGCACATGTGCGCTCGGAGGTGACGTGTCATTTCTATTTGGGCACGTTCTGGACACGCAGGCACACACACGTGTATGCACATGCACGCACTCACACATATGTCAACTTGGTCAGGGAGGTTTATTTAACACACTGAGAAATAGGAGTTACGATTTAGCCCAAACTGCTTCGTCCGCATTCCCCAGCAAGCATGTGGAGGTGGTCGCTGGGGGGGCCGGTCCAGCTGACCGGCTGATGAGCACATGTGGAGCACCAGCCGCATGTGGCAGATCAGCGCTGGCCGCCGTGATGCTCACGGCACAGGCCAGGGACCTGCCTGGGGTCAGCGCGGGGCTGGCAGAGAGATTGGCTGGTGTAGCTGAGACCCCGCCTAAGGGTCCTGTGGCCCTGTTGGGCGCCCAGTCTAGCACAGTGCCCCGGGGCACTGAGTCCCTGGCAAGCGTGTCCACACCGGGTTGACCCGTCATGCAGCATGCTCGGCTTCCGAATGGGTTGATGTCCTGTGACTGCGGGAAAGGCTGCAGAGGCTTTGGGTTCAGTCTCAGAATTAGAGAGAGACGAAGTGGGGACTTGGGGCCAGCGTGCGTGACCTGCTCCGGGGTGGCTGACTCTGACCCTGGTTCATTTTCTAGGGTGACCCTGGTCCTTCCGGCCCACCGGGACCTCCGGGAGATGACGGAGAAAGGGTACGTATGCTGTGTGCACATGTGAGCTTGGCTGTGTGCATGCATGTGTGTACATGTATATGTGAGCATGGCTGCGTGTGTGTGTACATGTATATGTGTGAGCATGGCTGTGCATGCACACGTGTGCATGTGTGTGCAAGCATGACTCTGTACATGTATGTGTGAGCATGGCTGTGTGTGTGCGTGTATATGTGTGAGCATGGCTTATGCATCCACACGTGTACACGTATACGTGTGAGCATGGCTTGTGCATGCACACGTGTGCATGTATGTGTGAGCGTGGCTGTGTGCACACACGTGTGTGCATGTATGTGTGAGCGTGGCTGTGTGCATGCACGCGTGTGCACGTGTGTGTGCGCATGGCTATACGCATATGTGTGTGGGTGTGGCTGCACGTGTGCACACAGTACCTGTCATCTGCCTAACCCGTATCGCCTGTCTATCTGGCCATCTCTGGTTTCTGTTATTGTGTCATTCATTTCTGTCATTGCCTATCAAGAATCCAAACCCTTTGACCTCATGACCTTCTGCCGTTTCCCCTGTGTGGAGCTGTGGTGTGCGAGCCCCTGAGCAGTGGGTCCCAGAGCCCAGACGCACCTTTTCCCGCAGACTTCCGGGACTGAGGCCACTCCAGGCCTCTCCAGCGGGCACAGGGCCTCGCGGATCTGGCCGGACATGCCGAGCAGTCCCAGGCCAAGGAGGCCTCTGCTCGGCTGAACGAAACACTGTCTCTCCAGTGTCCAGACTTCAGAGCTTATCCCTAACATCTTGCTTTTTCCTGCCTATAGGGTGACGATGGAGAAGTTGGGCCCAGAGGGCTGCCCGGGGAACCAGTAAGTCCACTGACTGGGTGGGACTCTGTGTCTTTGTCACAGTGACAGGCTGCCTCTGTGCAGAATCGGGGGTCGATTGGGAGTATAGATCAGAGAGTGCTCAGCTTTGACACAGAGACAGGTCTGAGGATTCCCCTGGGAGGGAAAAGAAGGAGCACATGGGGGTTGGTGGAACAGTCTTGAGGAGTCGATCCAAACCTTCCTGGAGGAGGAAGCTCAGGTCTCTGAGGATTGTGGCTGGGACTCCAGGCTACAATTATGGAGGGTGTCCAGGGTTACCATGGGTGTCCGGGGTCCACCATAGTTGGTGTCCAAGGTCACCACGGGTGTCCAGGGTCGTCATGGGTGTTTAGCATCCACTATGGTGGGTGTCTAGGGTCATCACGGGTGTCCAGGGTCATCACAGAGTCCAAAGTCCATCACGGTGGGTGTCCGGGGTCATCATGGGTGTCCTGGGTCATCACGGGTGTTCAGGGTCCACCAGGTAGGTGTTCAGGGTCATCACAGGAGTCTGGGGTCCATCACGGTAGGTGTACGGGCAGTCTCAAGGAGTTCCGAGTCTGCAGAGTCCCCACCCCTTCTGGTGGCCATGCTTTCCCAGATGCCCCCAGCAGCATGCCCTGCCCGGGCTCTGGAAAGCGCTGTTCCAGAAGCCGGTTTCTGTTCAGGCCCAAAGCAGGTTTCCTTGCAACAAGAGGACGTTAATTACATTTCACTCGCTGTTACTTTTTGAACATCTCACGTTTTTAATCGACATCAGTGGGGCCATACGCATCTGGCGATGCTAATTGAGGAGAAATATTGCGAACGCAGCGTGGAGAAGAGCCTGGGGTTGGCACTGCACGTTCATTTGGGACTAAATTGCACCCTAGGTGTCTGATGAGCCACGAAGGAGAATTCATCAGCTCAGCTCTGTCTTTAACCCACGTCTAAGCCATACTTTCTGGGTCATTAACTTCTAAAAAACATTTTCATGACTAGGTATTAAAATAGCGAAGGGAACGTTTAAGTGGCAGTGAACGTGGGGAGGGTTTCTCATCTACTGCATCTGCGAAGGTTCTGTCAAAATTAAGGGCACTGGAAATTGCTGTGTGTCCGTTAAAGGCGCCGTAATTCCCTGGTAGGTGGGGTGGGCGTGAGCCCCTGGGATGCGGGCTCCTTCCCGTGGCGGGCAAGGACGCTGCTCGGTCTCCGCTCCAGTCCTGAGAACCGTCCTCTCCTCGGTGCTGCTGCCGTGGGGCTGTTCCCACACACGTGGCCGCACTGCCAGGGGAGGGAGGGACTGGGCTCTGGGCCGTGTGGCCATCCCGGAAAAGACCTGAGGTCCAGGCGACATCCCCTGCGCTTGGTCCCGATGTTCTCATCCGAGACCTGGTTTCTCCTACCTCTGTCCGCCCCGCACCCACGGACTCTGACGTCAGCCACGCAGCCGCGTGTCATCACACGTGGCATTGCAGAGGGTGCCGGAGACGAGGACTGGACCGGAGTGTCCCGTGCAGCAGGGCTGTGGAGTGACGGAGAGCTTCAGGGCTCCCCCATCCACTCGAAAGGCTGCCCTTTCCCCGAGGGCGCCCCTCGATCTGTCTGAGCCCCGCATCAATTCCAGGCACCTCTGCGTCCCTTTCCAGCGCTGAGGTGGGGTGGGGTGAGGAGACGAAGCAAGAGGAGGAGGGGGTGTTGGCTCCCTGGGCAGCGCGGAGACCAGCTGCAGCCGGAAGGGGCGGGGCTGAGCGAGGCCGCAGAATTCGCTGGCCCGGGGAGGGCTGGGACTCCCGGCCGAGTCTGAGACTTCTTGCTCTTTCCTCTTGCAGGGGCCGCGTGGTCTGCTGGGGCCAAAGGGTCCCCCGGGCCCTCCTGGACCTCCTGTAAGTCCTGTCGCCTCTTTGCACGTCTGTCCATTGCTGCCCTCCATACCCCATGGGCCTTCAGCCAGCTCCCCACGCCGGCCACTGTGCACCCTTGCCCAGAGCTGGTGCGAGCTGTCGGCAGGGCTCTGGTGCTCAAGCAAATCAAACTCTCTAGCCGCTGCGGGGCTGCAGGCGGAGGCACAGAGGCCAGCTGGCTTTACAATGCTCTCTTTGCCTGGAGACAGCACGTGCTGTTATAAACAGTCACTGGGACACCACATTTTCTTCTTGCTTGAAAGCACTTCCAGCAGCTTCTGGAAAGTTCTGGAAGGAAGTAGAAGCCTGCAGTTCCAGTGGGGCTTTGTCTCACTGGACGGCTTCCCTAGGGCCAGGCCTGGCCCACCCACCTTTCTCAGCCCCTCTGCCCCACTCGGTATGGGCCTGGCAGCTCCAGCAGCCCCTCGCCGACCAAGCCTTTAGGACTTATTTGGGATCGATCCTGTCCCCTTTCCCAAAGCACATGCCACCCTCTGACACATGGCTAGCAGGGGGCCAAGCCGTGCTGAGTGGGATTTTCCACAAGAGTGTTGCTAATTCTTCTGCATTTGGTCTCTTTTTTTCAATCTCATCCAGGGAGTGACGGGTATGGACGGCCAAACAGGCCCGAAAGGAAACGTGGTAAGTCTCGGGTGTCCCCGCCACCTGGCCTCATGGTGAGTCCCCACGGGCGCGCTCCTGGCCAGGCCAGGGAGATCTGTCGTGGTCCAACCCGGACAGGTGTGAGGAGGGGGCACAGAGCTGAGCCCCAGGCCCCGGGCGGAGCAGGCCCCGTGGAGAGCTCACACTAAGCCTGTGGTCCGAGCTCGTCCCCTCCGAAGCCAGATGGGCTGCCCGGTGCGGAGGGACGTCCTTTCTCACTGTGCACGACACCCCCCGAGAGGCTGCGTGGCCCGTCTGTTCTCTGCCGGGGTGGGGGTGGGGGTGGTTTGGGAGGCTTCTGCCCAACGGGTCTTATGGTCGGTCCACCTCTCGTGGGCCCCCCTGGCCACTGTCCGAGGTGCGTCCGTGGAAACGAGGAAGCGTGCCCTGCACCGAGCTCCCCGCGGCCAGTGCAGTGTCTGGTCTGGTCTTCCGGCGGCCACTGGGCTGCTGTCCGTTCCCATCTGGGCGTCCTCGTCTGCCGCTTGCTCAGGAGCGAGAGCGGGTGTGAAGGATGAGAGGCCAGGACGGAGTGCCCAGGCCCCCGGGGGGACATGCAGTAACCCTGTCTGCCCTCTGGAGCCGCCTTCAGTGCCTTTGCTTTGTGTCCTGCAGGGTCCCCAGGGAGAGCCTGGCCCCCCAGGACAGCAGGGGAACCCAGGCGCCCAGGTAAGGAGCCAGGGGCAGGCTCCAGGGCGGTGGGCTGGGGGCGGTACGGGTCTGCAGTGCGGTGCCCTGGGCCTGAGCCGCTGCCGAGCTCTGTCCCATGCTGCTGGTCCAGCCCGAAGGGGCCCGCATCCTGAAGTGACCTGGAACCTGAGTCGGTGCCCTGGTGAGGGAGAGGCTCAGGGGCAGAGGGACGGGGGACAGATGGCAGGGAGGGGCTCTGGGTCAACCCGCTCCTTCCCTTTCCGCCCTACTCTTCCCCCTTAGGGTCTTCCCGGTCCCCAGGGTGCCATCGGCCCTCCAGGAGAAAAGGTAGGTGGGCTGAGCTGGGTGGAGGGCGCCCCGCCCCGCCTGCCTGCAGGGTACATTCGGGCCCTGGGACCCACAGCTCCTGTGGAAGTCCAGGCGGGGACAGTGCTCGTGATTGCCAGCATTGTCCCCAGAGGCAGGAAGGCCTGATCACCAAGCACTGAGCAGATAAGCC